CAAATGGGAAGGCACCTGGGGGAGGAGGAAACAGAAGTATGGGCATTGCAGGAACAACAACTGCGGATGTCTCAGTAAATAGTCTGGCAAGAGCTTCGGTGAATATATTAATTCATAAGTCTCCAATAGAAACTTGAGGACTACATGAACTGAACTAGATTATGCATTAAGTCTCGGAAACAAAAAGTAGAGGTTACTAAGCAACAACATGCGTTCTGTGTTAACAGCAATTTCCTCTCTTCTGACCAGACTTGATATCAAGCATAAATGAACATGAGGAGTTACTTCACTTCAATAGGAACAGTTTTAACCAAAAGTCTACAAAGTATAAAAATAATAAAGTACAGCAGAGTTCCACGCGCCCAACGCACTCCAAGCCTGTTTGTAGCTCCTGGTAGCTGGAGGATGTGCTCTGCATACTCTAGTTGCTAGTAGAAGAAGGTGGAGGTGGAGGTTAGGCTGGCATCCAACTGCTGTGTGGTGGTTGGTAGCTGCAGAACATCAAGGAGCAGGAGTTCAGTGATGAACTCAAGTTACAGGCTAGATTGGCACCTGTGTGATCAGGAGGGAGAGGGTTAATCATAGATCAGGATGGAGAGCTGAGCTCTATGTAAATATTTCCAGGATGGAGAGCACTTGTAGTAGTTTCCAGTCTTCAGGATGGAGAGCGGTAAAACGTTTATGGGTTACTCAGGATGGAGAGCGGGTGCCTGCTATATTGCCCGCCGTCTGCACGATTGCTCAAACACTGGGCAAATAAACTTTGTGGTTTAAGCCAGCTAGAGAGGAGGAGTAGCGTGATGCCGCGGGAGAGTAGGCGGCGCTACCGGCCAAACCCGAAACACCGGAAAGGTAAATCTCTTACACCTACTGAAGGAAGGATAATATACACTCACCAGCCACTTTATTAGGTATACCTTGCTGGTACCAGGTTGGACCACTACAATTTCCCATACAGACAAGAGGCCAGAACATCTGTCGGACATCCCCCTCCTCCGACATGAATGACAGAAGACCTCCAGATGAAGAGTCCACTTACCAAGATCTTGGCTTAAAAGGCCTAGGCCAGCTGCTTGCCAGTTGTCTACCCCCGGAACACATACCACGAAAAGGGCTGCACATGGCTTTTGTCTAGCTCCACAGCCGAACTCATGGTAACCTCCTAATGGTTGACATATGCAACGGCCGTGGCATTATCTGACTGAACCCTGACAGGGTGCCCCAACAGAACTTCAATCCAATGCAAATGGCAGTTTGATTGCCCATAATTACAGATTGATTGGCAACTTGGTCCCCTCTCTTATTCCATGGCCCTGCACCGACAACTGCCTGGTCCCCTGCCACAGCTGCACAAGCTGGCATTCGACACCACAATCTTCCAGCGTAATGGGAAGAACGACCTCCAGCTCGACAACATAGGGGAACAATGCCGCCATACCAGAGAAGACCAACCAACTCACCATTTCCATAGATGGAACAGGAACAATTACCCCCAAGTGAAGCAGACTCCACACCACTACCTGAAGATCGCAGAGACGTGCTTGAGACTGAAGATTGGAGTGACGATAGTGAAGAACCGAACTGGTTGTAGGGAAAGAAATCCCATCTCATCATAGCCTAAAATGATCACTGGTTTAAAAAACAGAAATCCACAAACAAGTGAAGATTTCCCCCCACCCTGAGCTTGACAGAGGCAATCCTTCATGCAAAATGAGGACATCTCTGTGGGTAAGGCAGCTTTAAGCACCAGGATCTGTTTCTAGGCCTAGTTAGCCAACACTATTGGGCCATAGGGGACAACAAATTACAACCTCTGAAACAGACAGCTTGGACCTGTATCCAGTGACACATTACGCACATACTGAAGACCGTGGACCAGCTGGTTCACTAGTTTCACATAAATAGACACCCTTTCACACTCCAGTTCCTGACGCAAGTGCTTAGCCCATTTAGTGTCTGATACACAAGGACTGTGGCCAAAAGAGGTTGCAGAGCCAATCCAGGGACAGTGTATTGGACCTCGCTACAGATTTCGCTTTCATGTTATTTCAGGTCCTTAAAAGGAGGATGACTCAACTGGATAAGGTGATGGTGATTCCAGTTGAAGACACGAGTTCACAACTGGAGAAGATGTCCATTATATAAGGAAGTCTTCCTCAAATGGATAGCAAAACAGAAAAAATGCTTAGGTAGGATGAAGGCCCGAGAAAGGCTTTTCCCATACCTTGTAAATGTCCTCAAAAAAAGAAAAAAAAAAACATGCTAGTCGAGCGTTTAAGACTTGTGTACCAAAGGGTACTGGGGTCTGTGATATAGTACCTGCAGAAACCCAAGATTGATATCAGTTTCCCAAGAACTGATAAGTGCAAAAAACAAATCTTTTTCTTGGGCGAAAGTAGAAAAGGGTACAAAATCCACAGCACCTAGTTTGAACACGAGAGAGCCTGTCCTACCCTCAGTCCAAAGCCCTCCAGGAACGAGTTGAGTACGTCCATGAGAACTAAAAGCCCCAGTGTGTCAGCAGCCCCCAGGGAAAAGGTCAGAAAGGAAAGTGGAAGCCTTCGTGGATTGTAAAGGGCTGCACGCATCCAGATAAATCGCCAACGCCCCACAGTCTACCACACCAACACCCGGACCCCCTGGAAGAGACTGACATGTCAACAGAACACCAGGAAGCTGTCTTACAGCTAAGGGGATAACCCTGCACTCAACGCCAACTACAATAGGGGAACTAGGTCCAAACTCTTTGACGCCAGCAAAAAACTGGGCTGCCTCTAGCAGATGGGAGGGTTAGCAGACCCCCCAGCAGAGGCCCACCCCTAGGCTGTGCTTTTTTTGTGCCTAGTGTGCTAATCCTGCAGGTGACAGTACAACCAATTGGTAAGAGATGATTGTACTATTGCTGCATTCCTCTATAGCTGCTGGTATTCGGCATTGCGCCGCTGTATAATGTACTATATTGCACACCACACTTTTTTTTTACTTCCACCGTGCCAAGCTTGCTCCTGTGATGGACTACAATCGCAATAGAAACTAGTAGTCCATCACTGGATCCTTTTTTTTTAATCCGATTAACCGAACTTAATAATCGGCCAACTAATCGATTATGAAAATAATCGTTAGCTGCAGCCCTAAAGATCTCCGCTGTGTCCTTCAATTAAGAGAAATATAAATAATTTGATTATAATGATATTTCAAACTAAGGGCACCAAAAACTCATTTTAGAATATCTTTGTAGATTAAGCAATAATTTCTGTCATTTCACATTTTCTTTTGCTTTACTCTGACAAAACAAAAGGCATGCAAATATACCTATGAAAATTGCTTTTAATATCGTCACTTTGAGAGCAATGAAGTTAAGGGTACCAACAAATTTGTCCATTACTTGAGCGATCTGCTGAGTCTCCCAGTTAATGTTGTGGAGAAAGGGTTTACACATCTGTCTACACATCTGTAAAATGTATTAACCAGACAATAATTTTATTTTTCAGCCCAATACAACTTAAAAGAAGGAAACCTCTAAATAATCAGAAGACTCAAAACACTACTTTCGTTAATTGCCATGGAGTTGGGGTGTATCTAATTAATCTACAAACACTGGAGTGGCCATCTCAAGTCTCCTGACCTCAATATCATTGAGCCACTCTGGGGAGATCTCAAACGTGCAGTTCATGCAAGACAGCCCAAGAATTTACAGGACATGGAGGCTTTTTGCCAGGAAGAATAGGCAGCTTTACCATCTGAGAAAATAAAGAGCCTCATCCACACATACCACAAAAGACTTCAAGCTGTCATTGATGTTAAAGGGGGCAACACACCATATTAGAAACTGGGGTATGTAAACTTTTGATTAGGGTCATTTGGGTAGTTTCTGTTGTCATTATGATTGGAAAAGAGTAAACACAGTTGATTGATAATAAATGGCTTCAGCCAAACACTACCCATGAGTGACAGAAAGGTTTTAGTGTTAATCATTCATATTCTCTGTAAAATGGCCAGGAAATCATAAATTCTGCCAGGGTATGTAAACGTATGAGCACAAGTGTATGCTACAGTTTAGAAGGATTTTTGATGCAATCTAAATATTGTATATGATTGCGCATCCCCCCCCAAAAAAAGTTGTAAATGATGAAGACCCTCTGGCTGACCTGTAAACACTACCCTGCTGAACAGGATAACCATTTCACAACATGCAGAAAATGTCCAAGCAAAGTCTCAAACAGGTTAAAATTTTTCTAGGAAAACATTTTACTTCTAACCTGTTGTGTTCAAGATTGTTGTCTGAATTAATTCTTCTGTAAAAGTGTTGGAAAGTGTGAAACTCCCACCTGGTGTATGCAGTCCAGAGGCATTACATTTTACCTGCAAGTTAAAATACAACAATATCCATTCTTAATATAGGATTACTCTATGAATAAAAGGCAACTGATAACATGAACTGGCCCATAAAGGTTTTGAAGAACTTGAAAAATCTGCTCCTTGCATCCTAGTGCAACTGTATTCAAACCATTTCAGGTTATGTGTAATCTCCAAAAAGCATTTAGGAAAATAATTCCAACTACAAACAGTTTTAAATGGAAATTCCAATAGGTTATAAATTGCCCAGTAGATGGCACCTAAAGGTGAATGAATATACTTTGTTCTGAAAGGACTGTTACAGAGTTTATGGTACATTAAAGTGACACTAAACTCAGGAGTTAAATCTAACATTCAAGTACCTTAACTATTAACAAAAATGTATCTTATTTGTGTTTCATTCAACTTTAGATCCTCAAATCATCTCTGAATTGGTGCTGACACTGTCCTTCCTTCTGGAGGGTGGCTATTTTTGTTCCCCATGGTCCCTGTGTGTGTTGTAAAGTAGCCACTGCTCCAAGCTCACTCCTGTGATGGACTAACTGATCTGTAAAATGTTACAGTGCCATCCTCAATAAGGCACTTTTACATCAACATGTCCAGTGTATTATTATACAATAAACATCAGACCATACCATACGGTCTACTGTTTTTATTTCCACACTTCATTCCACTACTTAAGGTTGGAGCTCACTGGAAGTGATAGTCACAGGGGTACTAACCAAAAGGGATTAGCTATAGGAGAGGAACTGGGGTCAAGACAATTGCCAATTCTTTCAAGGCAGACAGACCACATTTTCTAAAACTTTAGCGAGCAGCCCCAATAGATTTAGGTCAGTTTTTCAAATGAGAGTATGTAGCACATACCTTCGAGCCTCATACAGGGTTGCAGATACCTGCTTTGCAAGCCCTCATTGAAAGTTTAAAAGCTGAACGGGCTACACAAATTTTGTTTAAATGCAAGAGGTAAGGGGCATGTATCATGCTGTCTATTTCTTCCATATCTGTGCAGTAATTTGGTGTGAAATATTTATTTAAATAACGTATTAACCACGCTTAAACTATCCAAGAAACAATACCCATAGTAAGCTGCAACACAGTCAGACGTGAACTGCAACCAATAACAATAAACAAATGTATTGCGTTGTACCAAATTTTCAGTGCTATATGAGTGAATCATAATATCCCAAAATTCTTCTCAGAATTAAAGTGTATCAGTTTGTAATCATATATAGGAAGTAATTTTGAACTCACCAAAACTAAAATTGCATAATATAAAAAGTGTATAATAAACTATAACAGGACAATAAAGTTTATAATCCCTTTCAGTGTTTATAGTCTCTTTTCAGTAAAAATCAGTCCATAGCGACATTCCTCAAATACTCCCAAATCTTGATAGTCTTGTGATATCTGAATCCGCAGATCACCATCCACAAATATAAGTGACCAAATATAATATTTACAACAGTGTCTCTCTCACCACCACACCACCGTTCACAGAAACAAACCGCACTCACCAGATCTACAGGGCTACCCCAGCTAAGGGATAAGCCGTGAGCGTTTTATATACACGGTGCTAATGATTCGGCTTAGAAGGATCCGCTCTTAAAAGTCTCTCCTTTCTTCCTCGCCTCTCCAGAAGAGCTTACAGACCAAGTTTAAAAAAACAAACATGATGTTGTATTTTGCTATATTACTTTATTATATCCCGCTACCCTTGGAAGAAGTTGTGACAAAACACGTTGGGTGGTCGTGGCATACATGCGCTTCTCGATACCAACACACTGACGCCTGTAAAATTGGAGGAGTTTTTTCGTACGAACATTGGATTATATCTGTAAGCGATTTTAACCGTATATAAAAGCAATATGTAATCACACCTCATGCACCAGCCAGGCCCGCCCCATTATCTGCGGCGGAAACGAGGCCTGGAACGCAAGGCCCGCGGCGTCCGGAAGTGCGACACCCGCACCAGAAGTGACACAATCGGTCCTCCGATCCGGCCGTGGAGTAACTCCCGGAGTCCCCAGACCAGTAGCACCTGACTACTAGCGCTCCGGTCCGAGGGCTCAGCCAAGGGGGTAGCGCAGCTCCGGTACTGGCCCTTCTCGGGCACTGAAAAAGATGGAGGAGGACCTGGAGCGGAATCAACTGTGGCAAGTGGAGCGCACCAGTGGCCCTAAGGTAACCATGCCGTGAAAAAAACCCAAGCGGTATCCCCATAGAGAGGCCCCCTCGTCGTTCCAGAGACATGCTCCACCCTGAAGGAGGAAACACAAAAAGCTGAGGAGCTAGGAGAGAGGCGGGCCTTTTGAAACAACTGAGGCTGAAGGGTTTCCTAAAAAAAGGGGTGGAGCCTCTCACAAGTTGTTCTGGAGGACGAAAGGGAAATACTACACCATGAGAAGCATGTTTGTTTTTGTTTGAGCTTGATCAGTGAGCTCTTCTGGAGAGGGGAGGAGGAAAAGAGAGACTATTATTAAGAGGGGATCCTTCTTCTAAGCCGAAGCATTACTGGATGGAATCATAAGCGCCGGGCATACAAAATGCTTACAGCTTATCCCTCAGCAGGGGTAGCCCTGTAGATCCGATGAGTGCGGTTTGTTTCCGTGTACGGTGGTGTGAAGAGAGAGACACCGTTTGTAAACACTGGATATTTGGGCACTATTGTGGATGGTGATATGTGGATTAAGAAATCCAAATCCTGGTATGCTTGTGGAGTATTTGAGGCATGTCACTATGGACTGATTTCCACTGAAAGGGGTTATAGACTATTGTCCTTTTATAGATTATTGAAGCACTAGTTACACTTTATATTACGCAGTTTTAGTTTTGGCGAGTTCACAATCACTTACTTTATAGGATTACAAACTTTTTCATTTTTATTCTGAGAAGAATTTTGGATATTGCGATTCACTTACATAGCACTAAAGATTGGGTATAGCGCAATCCATTTGTTTATGTTTAGCGTGAAACATTGCCTCTGTACAGGAACATCTTGTATTAAGACCAGTGACTACTGTCTCGCCTCTATTTACAGCACAATTATGTCTCCACTACTTTTACAAGTTCATAAAAGAATTAATAAAAAAGGAATGTGGTGCAGACAAAATGGTTTGATTTGTTTTTATTGAGGAATATATTTAAATAAACCTTTGTGCGCACAGTTCAGCTTTAAGCAGGATGAGTAACATCTTCTCTCAATACTGCTTGTAAATCTCAATTGGGAGGCAGTCTTTGCTCGGGGCCTTTTCATGAAGAAAACTAGAAATGTCTTTATCCAGTTCATTAATTGTGAGGGGGGCATCCCAAAGATGCCTGGGACAGATGTGTTTGCAGAGGAAGAGTAAGAGTTCCTAATTCTTCAGAGGCTTTGGAAGCATATCAAGTCTGGTAGAAGTCCCCAAAAGTCTCTAAAATGTTCAAGAGGTTGACAGTTGCCCCATCAGCAGGAGTTAGTGTTCCCACCGTCATTTTGTCCTGTCCTGGACTATCCCTTGATCCAGTATGAAGGTTCTTAAAAGAAATACCTACTAGGTACTTTCTGGCAACACAACTTATTTAGAATTTTCAGCAGTTGCAGCCAGGCAGACTTGGAGGATTTTCTTCTCTCTTCGTCTACTATAGGACTTGATAGTGCTCACCTACCTAACAAAAAAGGCCTCTAAGAAAAGCTTTCAGAGCATTCCCTATAATCCCTTGAGAGGATGTAGTTTGCAATATCCTCAAGTTGTTATCCACTGTGTCTGAAATGCCGACCCAATGGGAGAATGGTCTGATATACCCCTCATCTCTATCACTACAGATCGCACATGGGGAATAATGTCTAATGTACTATGAGCCATATGTATACTTTACAGCCAGTATGTGTTTCTGAATGACAGGTACATTCTGTGCCAGTAGACTTTAACATGCGCCAAAGATCTCAAATGTGGTAAACTTTCAGGTAATAATGACAATGCTTCGCGACAATGTGTGTGTATATATAATCTATCTCTATCTCAAAAAAATTAAAGGAACACTTTGAAAACACATCAGCTCTCAATGGGGAGAAATATCATGCTGGATATCTACTGTATAATGGACTGGGTAATGTGTTAGGAACGAAAGGATGCCACAGCATTTGATGAAAATGAAAAAATGATCAATCTACAGAGGGCTGAATTCAAGACACCCCAAAAACCAAAGTAAACAAATAATGCAGCAGGCTATTCCTTTGTGCTGAAATTTAATTGCAGCAACTCAAAATGGTACTCATTAGTTTGTATGGCCCCCACGTGCTTGTATGGATGCCTGACAACGTCGGGGCATGCTCCTAATAAGGCGACGGATGGTGTCCTGGGATATCTCATCCTAGATCTGGACCAGGGCATCACTGATCTCCTGAACAGACTGAGGTGCAACCTGGCTGCATCGGATGGACCGAGACATAATGTACTATTGGAGTACTATTGGATTCCGGTCAGGCGAGTGTGGGGGACATTCAATGGTATTAATTCTTTAATCCTCAAGGAACTGGCTGCATACTTTCGCAACACATGAGGCCGGGCATTGTCGTGCACCAGGAGGAACCCAGGACACTGCACCAGCATAGGGTCTGACAATAGGTCCAAGGATTTCATCCTGATGCCTAATGGCAGTCAGGGTGCCATTGTCTAGCCTGTAGAGGTCTATGCGTCCCTCCATGGATATGCCTCCCCAGACCATCACTGACCCACCACCAAACCATTCATGCTGAACCATGTTACAGGCAGCATAAAGTTCTCCACGGCTTCTCCAGGCCCTTTCACGTCTGTCACATGTGTTCAGGGTGAACCTGCTCTCATCTGAGAAAAGCAAAGGGCGCCAGTGGCGGACCTGCCAATTTTGATGTTCAATGGCCAATACCAATCTACCTCCATGGTGCCAGGCAGTGAGCACAGGGCCCACTAGAGGACGTCGGGCGCTCAGGCCACCCTCATGAAGTCTGTTTCTGATTGTTTGGTCAGAGACATTCACACGAGTGGCCTGCTGGAGGTCATTTTGTAGGGCTCTGGCAGTGCTCATGCTGTTCCTCCTTGCACAAAGATGCAGATAGCGGGCCTGCTGATAGGTTGAGGACCTTCTACGGCGCTATCCAGCTCTCCTAGAGTAGCTGGAATCTGCTCCATGCTCTTGAGACTGTGCAGGGAGACACAGCAAACCTTTTTTTGCAATGGCACATATTGATGTGCCATCCTGGAGGAGTTGGCATTCCTGTGCCACCTCTATAGGGTCCAGGTATCACCTCATGCTACCAGTATGACACTGCCTCTAGCCAAATGCAAAACTAGTGAAAAACAAAAAGTCAGAAAAGACGAGTAGGGAAAAAAATGTCAGTGGCCTCCACCTGTAAAACCATTCCTGTTTTGGAGGTCGTCTCATTGTTGCCCATCTAGTGCACCTGTTAATTTCATTAACACTAAAGCAGCTGAAACTGATTAACAACCCCCTCTGCTACTTAACTGACCTGATCAATATCCCAGGCGTTTAATTGACTTGATGCTATACTCCGATTAAAAAGTGTTCCTTTATTTTTTTTTATATATATAGCGCATTATTTTTATTATTATATACATATACTTTTTTCCACATACACAGCAAGGAAAACAATTACTCAGTTGCCATACCTCTCTCTGGGAGCTTTCCTTCAGAGTTCTTATTACATCTAAGAGATGTGCCTTTATTTTTGAGGACTCAGAGGAGGCTTTAGATATTTCTTTAGCTGTTTCTGCCTTCATATTCTGAGCTTCGTCCTCTGCATCTGCTAACTTCTGCTTCAGTTCGCTCGCTTCTTTCCTGCATGTGCACACAAAGCTTATATGTATTAACCTCACCAACTGGCAATCTATGCTTTACTCATGAGGGGCTGGTTTGAACGTCTAAGTTTCAAGCTACATGTTTTTTATATGCATTTTAGCATTCTACAAAAAAAATAAAAATCATAAAGTAAACATTGCTATTTACCATAATGGTAAATTATGGATTGCATGTGCATTTTAACATGAATCTATATTTACTGTATCCCCTCAAAAAATAGTTGTTGCACACGTGTTACAATGCAGTAGATGTTCACAGATTATGTTTAGTGTGTACTTACTCTAGCTCCTTGATGGTATCCTTCAGATTTTCAAACTGATAGTTACGCTCAAGCAAGTTAAGATGGTGGGTTTTCAGCTGAGATTCGGTTTCTGCTACTTGCTCCCGACAAACACTGTTCTCCTGTTCAAGAAACTGGAAAACACACACAGTAGAAGGAAGATTATGTGATCACGTTGGTATATTATTTTGGGAAATCTAAAATAATTTGGCATAATATTGCATAGTAGAAGGGCACTCTGAGCATCTTACCTCCAGGCTTTCTGTGTAGCAGTTAATTTGTGAAGCATGTTCCTTTTCTAGAGCACGCAGCTGTGCCTGTAAGGACTTCTTCTGACCACAAACCTCTGACAATTTAAGTTCAAGGCTGAAATTGTTAAATAAAACATATCAAAGAACGCTTAAACTACTATTCACAGATAATACTGCTATAATAACCCGCCTATTCAAACTGGCTAAAAGGGTTACGTACCACTGCATTTAACACCAAGAAACAACCAGAAATAAAAATGATCATCACTAAATGCTCTCTTGCAGTCCTAATAGTTTGTGAAATTACAGACAAAGCCCATTATATTTTATAGAATGACATACCCAAAATATTTTAAAATAAATGTAGCTTCACTATGTAAATTATATATAAATAAATACATAATAAAACCATCTAGGGCTTACCTCACTTAAAAAGAGAATTGAGGTGAGTGATTTTCACTCAGCCTCATAATCTGAGCCGACCTGTGACAATGAAACTGTCACAGGTCGGCTCAATAGATCGGGAAGTGAGCGAACACATACTGGCGCTCGCTCACTTCTCGATCTATCCCTGCAGAAAGCCGTGACAGGGGAGGGACTGGATTCCCTCCTCCCCTGTCCGATCCTCCAGCGCTGACTGGCGGAATGGACGGGGGAGGGGCGGGTACAGCTGGCTCTGCCTCTAGATAGGCAGAGCCAGCTGTCACTCACGCAGCTGGGTGCATCCAGACACAATTGTCGGGATCCGTTCCGGCTGCAGCGTCTCAGTATACCGAGAGCTGTAGCTCGCGGTATACTGAGCTTTGGGTGACGGGAGGATGCTAGTTTGTGTCCTCCTTGTACCCTTAGGAGAATTATGGGGAAAAGCCCTAACCCCATAGTTCTCCTTTAAGCACAAAAAAAACTACAGCAGTATTGGAAGTTTGTAAAAGATGTGGTCTATTATCATGACATGATACAAAAAGGGCAACATTTTTCGAACCACACACACGGTTCTTTCTCAAGCCCAAAAGACGAGAAGTAAAATGGATCTTTCAATTGAATACATTACAACCTAAAGGATTAAACGTGGACTTGGATCTACATTTGTTCCTATAGGTTTTGTTTAACTGGATAAAGGTTTAATTGAGTGTGTTAAATTGCACAGGTGGAATGTGATGAAGTTCACCCTTATGTGCTTAATGCAAGACAAGAAAAGAGATGTGGGAAACATACAAGTTAAATTGTAACAGAGTACAGAATTCCTTCCAGTGTTCAAAGATAGACTGTTTTTATTACTATATTATAAGGAATTGTGGACGTATTCCTGTGTTGACGTCACCAGCAGGGGCCGCCCCTAGGCTGTCTTTGTCTCTTGTTATGTGCCTAGCGTCCTTCTCCTGCAGGTGGCGATATACCCTACCATTCAGGATCTACGATCTGTTGCCCTGTGTCCTTCAATGAACGGGAGAGAAACAGGATTTTTGAACTCCCCGTAAAATCCTTTTTTTTGGAGTTCATTGAGGGACACAGCAAATCTTAAACCTTTGGGTTACAGCAAATAACCAAGTCATTTGGGTCATATAATCTTGCATGACCTCAGCTAAGGGAAAGGGTCCAGACAACCTATAGAACCAATGAGGACTCTGAGGACAAACAAATTCAGAGCATCAGAAGACACTCTGCAAACAGCCACATAATTGTTAGTAGAATGTGAGCTGGAGGCACCCGGTACATCAGGACTGCTCCCATGTCTAGAATCATGCCGCATGGTGGTAAGGCAATGTATGGGCCCAAAATAACAAGCAAAGCCTCAGGTACTTATGATACCTAATAACAGGTGTGGGTTGGATGGCTAGAGCCAACCAAAGTCACTGTAGGTGGGTGGCAGGCAGCAAGTCTTAACAGCAGAGCTGTAGAAAAGACTCTGATCCTTCTATAAACTGAGGCATGCTGGTAATGGGTATCCTGAGGTCGCCTACAGTTTTGTATTCCTTTTTGCCAGTGTCCAATCCTTCTGTAGATGCCAGTGTAATCCAAAGGTTTGAGACATCCTGTGTCCCTTAATAAACGAGAAAGAAAAAGGAATGCATGCCATTCAAAAATAATATTGCTTTAAATGTTGAGGGGATACCTGGGCACAACCTCTGCAGATAGATACTTGAAGCGATCTTGATATGACTGGCCTCTGAAAGAAGAAAGATTTTTTTTTAAAGTTAGTCACTGGGACAATAAGGGGGTGATTTATAATGAGTGAATATGGCTATCCACTCACCGTTACAATGTATTTTTTTTTTTTAAATAATAAGCAGTAGTATAGCCATGGAAAAGCTATACTGTGGCTTTATAATGCCGCCCCTAAGCTATAGTACTCATACACCAAACTACCTAAACATTTGATTGAGCAGCTAAAATTTGAGGTGCGCCTGTGTGGCTACATGTGTATCATTTTCAAAGCAAGCCCCCAAGCTGAACAGATATATTGTCACATGTTGACCCCATATAGCAGCAGTCAAAAACGTACATACAACCAGATTTTCAAACCCACGTGTTTGATATTCCAATAACATCCAGCTGAGGAACTTTTCATCACAGGCCTGTTCATTAGCAGGATGGGCCTAAATCTTTGAAGTAATCTGTGCAAGTATGGGCAGATATATTCAAAACAATAGGGCATTATGAAACCATTTAAAAATCAAAACGCTTTACACCTTGCGGTTGCCTCATTCAGTTCTTTTTCTAGTAGCTTCATAGATGAGTCTCTAGCAGACAATTGTTCTGCCAGCTCAGAATTTTCCTCCTTCCACTGATCAATTTCTGCCTCTAGACTACACACACGTTCCATCAGAGATTCCAGCTCTAAAGAAAAAATAGAGAAAAATGGATAAATATAAAAACAGAATTGCACAGTAAACACATTTACACACATTAACAAAACAAAGTTACAACACAAACCTGAACCCAGACGTGAGTTTTCCAACGTCATCTGTTCATTCAAAGACTTCAGGTCTTCCAGGCATCTGGACATCTATCAGTAATAAATGGTTAAAAAAGAAATTGTGTTCTCGTTGACCAGTCCACAATTTATAGTGACTGCTATGCAATCTCGGTGCCAAGGCCTATCTGCACAGGATGATTTAACAGATGCAAAATTGCTTTTTTATTTGAATCTGACTCGTAGCTGTAGCCATAAAAAAAACAAAAAACTGTTTAATACCAAAATGGATACAGGAGACGCCCCACAAAAAAGGCTTTCAATAATGAATTTATGTTTGGAGAACAATCTTCTGATTGACCGATGGAGCCAAAAGCTGCTTTTAATCATTGGGGTGGAAAATGAAAGGCCTATGACTAGAAGCATTTTTATATACTCAAAATATTGTGTATGAAATGTGAATGGGACTATGTAACAAAATATATTTGGCTGTTGCAATTTGGCTGCAAAAGTTGAAATACATGTTCCATGTATTAGCCGCTTTTGACTGAATCTGAATGTTCTTTATAAAGTTTTGAATCTGGTTGCTGCACAAATCTTCAGACTTTCACTATGCTACGGGAACACAAACATATAGAGGGGTTTTCTCAAATTTGACTGCAAACGTGGAAATACATTTTAAGGTCACAATAATGAGAATAGCTATTTTGAACAAACCTAAAACCATAATAATGAAAAAGCTGCATTTTACAACTTTGCATGATTGTTTATTAATTACTTTAGAAGACTGTGCATCTCCCTGCATCAGTGGCTGCTTGGTTCCTTGTCCTCTTCAAAACAGGCAGTTTTCCACCCAACCGTAATCTACATTTCCCATGATCCCACAGCAACTAAGCAGCATCCGTCACATAAAACTCCTATCCTGAAGTTCACCAGCCCAGCGCATAACACATCACTCTTGTGACAGCAGCAGTTACACTGTGCTACTTTATACAAGCTATCAGAGGAGTGCTGACACAATTGCAAAGCTCACCTCTGTTCAGGCAGCTCGCATAAAGTAGCAATGTCAGTATTGCTGACACAGAAGTAATGAGTTATGCAATTTATTGATGAAATACATAACTGGAGTTGTGGGCAGACAGTCTGCATCCAACAGCATGCACCCAGATCTGTATGGATGTGCAAGTTCTGGTCGGTGTGTAGCCACATTCCTGTCATAGGGATGTACAGGCAGCTGTGGGCAATTACAGACTGCACCTGTCCCTCTCGGGAGGTCTCTGCACGAGCGTGCACGCCGTATGAATGCGTACACCAATTTGAATAAGGCCTTCATGACACTAAAGAAATCTGTTGCGCACCATTTCAACAACAATCTTCCCATAAGATTGTATGTACAGTAAACATGTTTGATGCATGTTTTTACCTGTAAAAGCCTCTCTTTAGTAGGCATCCGAAAGCCCTGAGGACTGCTGTTGGGTGCCGCCATCTTGGATGTGATGTCAGTAGCCCCAGCAGTTACACAAATGATACTAAGGTAATTCCCCCTCGCTCCTCCCTGGCAGCTACATGAAAGGTAGGGAGGCAAAGTGAGGGGTGGGAGAGCTAGGCCAGCATAGAGAGTAGACACTCCTAGAAGAGAAGTTGGCTATGACGTGCAAGGAGGGAGGGGCTGTGCTAGGGTATGAACTCTTCCTGAAGAAAGTGGGGGGCCTACATAAATACCAGCCAAAACTGGTGACATTCTCCCTTTTAGCAGCAAAACTATAGCTTCAACTGGGAAAGTGCAATGTATTCCCTTTCAAAAAGCTATCTAGCATTCTAAATAAAGAACACTCCCAAAATCTTCCTTAAGGTTTGGTCCCAATGGATTACCTACAAACTCACTTCCATGGACCCCACTGCACTCACTCACTGTAGACACAATTCCTAGCAGACAGATTTGCTTCTATGACGTGGACCACCTCTCACTCCCCACCCCCATTTCTCCCCTCTATGCTTTCATACACTGGTAGAGTTTCAAAAGAACTTCCGTACGAAAAATCTTTCGTTTGACTTTCTATTAGTTGATGGGGTCAAATCGATGATTGATTTTGACCATAGTGATGGAAAAAGTCGAAGGAGCAGGAGGGACATTTTTTCTAAAACAAACAAGTCTAACAGTGAATGTGGTTTTCGCTCGGGAAATTCCATTTATTCCAAAATCTAATGTAAAATAAAACAAACTTTCATTTGACATTCGTCATGTCTCTGATGGCATTATCAGGTGGTAAAGAACGACCTTTCTTTCGGAAAACTACTAGTGTATGGCCAGCTTAAGAATACCAGCCTTCTTACTTTTCTCTTGATTTTTCTTTCTACTGTCCCTTACTCGATGTTGTTGCTTATTGTTAACCTCCATCTCCAGTTTTGGAGCAGAAGGTCATTCACACCTTTCCATGTTTTCCTCTTCAGCAGGAAATATATCCATAAAGCTCAAAAGCCTCTGAGGCCCCATTCACACCAGGGCGGTTGCAGATCAGCGCAGATTTTAAAAGGGCGGTTTTGAGAGGTTTTTTTTTCAGCATTGAAACGCAATTAAATACGGCCAAGGCCTGTTCCAAGCCATGTCCCTCTAGTCCCCTAGAAATCAGAAATAAAATGTGTTTGAAATCCGTTTAGGAAGTTTGTTTAGGCGACATTCCATGGTTTCGAGGTGATTGTGATGAATATTGTTGTATTTACTATTCCGTTTTGTTTATTTGCTTGTAACCTATATGATTTCATGTCATGTGGAGCTTGTAAAGACTATAACAAATTCTGCTCTATTTTGTATTGTTGGAAAACGCTCAATAAAAATTACATGCGGGGAAAAAAACGCCCAACACCACACTGAACAGCACAGATCCATTGAAAGCAGTATGGCAACCATGCTGATCAGCGCGGCAAAAAAGGGTCAGTGAGCAATTTGGGCAGTTCGGATCGCACTGAGCCGCAAGGTCACATGAACGGTCCCCATAGCAATGTATGGGATCGTTCATGGCGGCAGATCCCTCCTGGTGTGAACGGGCACTCAGGCAGGTGACCACACCTGAGGCAAGTGCCAGTCCTTTAGAACTTCAGTCTTATTTGCAATATTTAGATGTCGTCACGACATCCTTTCTGCACTGTAACCCTCAATTGTTAATGGTGCTCTGTGCCCATTGTGATTATTCCGGTGTTTGTATGTTTGGATTTTGCAATGCTATCCTCTACTACTCGCACGTTTTGTAAGGGAACGTTTAGGACATTGGTGCTCACTCACCTCATTATTATGCAAAATAGTATCATTCCTTTCATTCTTGATTCCATCAAACTTCTCAAGAGCAACCTGGGTTTTCTCCTTCATAACCACAAATAGACGCCAGTACCGAGATATAAGTTCCCTGGCCTGAAAACACTATCAACAAATGCCAAGTCAGAAAATCAAATCGATAAACACTAATCCTTACATATATAAATAAAACATATGTGGTATTAATATGAAGACTCCACATATCCTTGAAACCACTCTCCCTCCGGCTCTAGGCAATAGCAGCCTCCAGGTTCAGCCACTTCCTCACACTATCTGCATACAAATGTAGTAGTGCACACTCCTGACAGTATAAAGTTTGTGTACACAGGGAGATGAGCAGTGGGACACTCCACCCATATCCTACCCCCGACCTACTAGGGTAGACACCAGAACAGGGATAGGAGGGTCATATAACAGTAACAAATTGTAGAAATGTCACCAGCACACACCAGTCCTTTTAGGATAGCAAAAGCTTCATTTATTGAAGTTTTTTGTCATATGAACAAGCACTTTCAGGACCACACAGTGTCCCTTCATCAGGCTTTAGCATCATCAATGCTAAAGCCTGGTGAAGGGACCCTGTGTGGTCCCAAAAGCGCTTGTTCATATGACAAAGAACTTCAATAAATGACGCTTTGCTATCCCTATCCAAGGACTGGTGTGCTGGTAACATTTCTACAATTTGCTCATACTTGCGGCACCATCTGCAGTCACTGCGAGCACCGCCCCACCCCATTACAAGGGACTTTTGATAAGGAGTTCAATAAGGATAAGTATTTATCATTTAACATAAGGCCCCAGGCACCGTGTAAGAGGTGGATCAAAGCCAGCCCAAATGTAGTTCTTGGAAGTAGGGCTGTGCAAATTAACGATTAATTTCTCGATTAATCGTTAATCTTTTTGATCGATTAATTTTTTTTTAAAACTCTCTGCACGAGCGCCAGCCAAGGCATTGGCCTATACACATACAGCACAGCAATGAAGTCATACAATGAACTAGGATCACACTAATCCAGCACGTTATTATTCTAAGTTGCCCCACGTGAGATTAATAATGTCCTGGATTAGTGTGATCCTAGTTAATTTTATTACTTCATTGCTGTGCTTTATGTGTATAGGCCAATGTAGTTGGATCTGTATGTGCATTATAATTAATCGAAATTAATCAATTAAAATAAATTTCGATTAATCGAACACAAAAATGTTAATCATTACCAGCCCTACTTGGAAGTAATAATTCCACTGTTTGTGCAAATTATTAGTGTCCTGACAAGGGAGGGTTTCAACCTTTCCTAAAAGAAAACAAAAAGGAGTCATATCAAGACTGGAAAAAGGGTGTTGAACATACAATGGGAGGTTTAAGCATCTCCAAAGAGTGAATATACTGTAGAATTCAGAACCCATCTGTGATATGAAGGCAGAAGCAAAGTTTTTGACTGACAATAATAAAAGGTTGAGAATCTGGCTCCTGGAATTTGTCCAGTACTATTCCCTATGCATTCTGTTCATTAACTGGGCTTTTCAAAAGCTAACATTGCTGGTAAAAAAAACTGAAGAGATGGCATGTTAAATCAATTGGTCTACTCATTACCTGCATCAGGAGCTGGGTTCGGTCATCTTCAACTTCAGAGCAAATAGAATGAGCTCTGTGAATAAATTGGTCTAACTCTTCATTGTAGGAAGACTACAGGAGCATGAAAAAATAGAATAAAAAAATATCAGCATTTTAAAAAATGCATCTTTTGCAAATAGGGGACAGTATGGGACTAATTGACTGATTCTCTCTCAACTGGCCCTTGCTCCATTGTGGGAACTCATCTAAACTTATATCTAACAATTCGGAGTTGAAAAATGCCACATCTTCTAAATGTCAGAAGGCTAAACAGAAATGGCAGAACATAATCCCTCAACTCATGAAGGATTACCGGTTGGTCTTCTATCATCCAAATAAATATTTGCAACCCCATGATCTGCCTTCTATGCATATTTGAAGACCTTCAAATTATCTCCCATGGTAAATACCTTCTGCAAATTATTACTGTTATGCTAAGGCTGCTATTCTGTTAACATGAAGGAGCCACCCCTCACCCCCACAATTGGAGAATGGAAGAAACAAAATCAATGAATAACCCCTATATAAAATCATGAAAACAGAGGTCTTCTGCAACAATTTGATAGTGTGTGGGACCAATGGCATACTTCTACTTCCTCCACTCCAGACCGGCTTTAGAATGCTTTTGATGTTGTTGATCTAAGATTTACTACAAGAACCCTTCTTGGGAGGATCCGTTACTACAACTCTGAGCAAGCGAATTGTAATTACCACAGTCTATGAGGTTGACAATTATAAAAAGCGTAAATATAAAAAGTGTAAGGTTGTTTGTTAATGTGGTTTATTGTCAGTTGGCTTTCATGCAAAAATCAATAAAAAGAAGTGCATCTAATAAGCTTATACAAAAGATGCCCGCCCCTTCGCCAGTAGGGTTAATTTGCTCAAGCATATTACATTCAGACAAATTATTTTTTTGAAAAAAATCTAGTTGGGCTCCTGCTGACAAGAAAAGGTCATAACATACAGTAACTTTACAGATACCCTCCCTTCAAAAGGGAGATCCTAATGTAAATAGACCAAGCCAGCCATTATTCCAGGAGTTAGGAGCTGTTAATAAGTATGTTTTTGTCAGCTCAGCATCCACTTACATGCTTGATTAACTTTTAAATCTTAATAAGTGGCTCTAAGGGAACATTGTGAGTAAACATGGAAATTCTCCCATAGACTTACCTGCTGCTCATAAGCTTCTCTGACAGTTTCACAAATATTCCTCTCAGTTTCTAAGTCTCTGCGAAGCTGAGCAATGACAGCTGAAGAGTGAATTTCAAGATCCTCCAGACACTGATCTGCCTGCATACAGCAAAGTAACAAATTGCAAGGTTTCAGTGGACAGTTCTGCACATTACACAAGCTGACAGACATTCGTTATTAATAGGTCAATATGAATATTCAGCAAATTCCTATAAATGCACAAATCACGGGTGCTTAAAAACAGGAAAATGTTAACACTCCTCTGGTGTCAAGGGCTGCCCCATCCACTTTTTCCTATTGGCCAGTAAAACCACCTATTATTGTGATGTATAAATTGTAAGGTGTAGTAGGATGGGAGGAAGACCAGGCTTTCAAGGCACCAAAGTAAAAAAGGAACGTAAGGGAGGGCACTGCTATGTACTTTGTAGTCTTGGGGCCAGTTTTTAAATGTTATGGAACTGAAAGGTGTGCTTTAACCCAAAGATAAAATACCGCTGTTTTTGCAAGAAGGGCTTCTTCCATACGAGTTTTCATTTCCTCCTTTTCACACAGATTGTCTTCTATCTTTTTCCTCATCTTAGACAGAGATGTTATATATTCAGCAAGAAGAGATTGCATGAAGCTTGTCTTTAAAAATACATAAAATAAAATAGGATTAAATTCCAGTCAATGCAAAGATTACATTTATCAGACTATGTGCATGTTTTCAGCTCCAGAATTCCATTAATATCGTATACCTTCAATTTTAGTATAGTTACACTTAAAGATCTATTAAAATTTGAAGAAAAAAAAAAGTCAACCAGGATGGGGAGGAGAGTCTAGTCCAGTGGCCTGTCAAAATCACATGGTAGGCTCTTTTACATTTACAGAGTGATGTCTGCTCTGTTAAGGGGGAGAGAGAGAGAGGAGAGAGAGGAGAGAGAGAGGAGGGAGAGAGAGAGGAGGGAGAGAGAGAGGAGAGAGAGAGAGAGAGAGAGAGAGAGAGAGAGAGAGAGAGAGAGAGAGATGAATGGGCCATAAAATGCAGATGGCAGTCTGTACTTCATTGCCAAGAATAATAGATAGCACTATTTGCGCTCCCATTATAAAATAGACCACTTATGTGCACTTGAAATAAAACTTGAGTGGACTGACCACTGGGTTATGCAGCTATGATCAGGTGATTAGAAACTGGCATATCAAAGCTGCAGGAACAGCCCAGCATAATCCCAATCACTCCCAGCCTGCCTCAGTTTTGCAGCAAGCAATACAGAGTGGAACATGTCAGATGAGGGCAGGACCTGTGTCCTATGATGTATATCAAAAAAAGTGATTTCACATTCAAGACAAAAATCCTGTTTTCTTGATTGTACGTCACAGGACATGGAGTTAAATTCTTAGACCAATGGTATGTCCAAAAGCAGTCCAACTGAGGGGCCGGCAACACAGCCAACAGGACCGGGAACAATAGCCATCCCAGGTGGAACCAGAACAAAAAACGGTGAGCCCACTCTTAAAGGGCTGCCTGTAAGACCTTACAGCAGAATCTGGCATTTGCAGAGTTCACCAGCCAATGGAGGAGGTGGAAGCTCGTCCAGGGAGCCTCAGACTAACAGATAGAAGTAGTGGCTGAGGAGTAAATGCGCACAGCGCAAACCATGACAAGGCAGTGAGCGGAAATCTCCTTTGGATTTTTGGGAGGACATAAAGATGGTAAAACAACATACTGGATATGGTGAAGGCAGACACCACGTTAGGAAGGAAGGAGGTCTTAGAACCACTTTATCCCTGTGGACAACCAGCAAAGGTTCTATGCCAAAGCCTTAGTTTAAACAGACAAGGTTTGACAAATCACCAAAGTGGTAACAGCAGGCTGCATAGCAGGGCCTGCCAGGGAAAAATAGAGACTTAAGTAACCCTGCACCTATAATTCGCCAGGAGCGTCCCACTCAAAACTCTCAGAGGTGAGAGGGTGACCAAGGTTACCCAGGCTTATAAACAACAGCACTGTGCGGAGGTGTAGCTTCACGTGTGTGTGTGTGTGCAGAGTCACAGCAGCAGCAGGAAGTGTGTCCAACCAGCACTGTGCACCAGGAAAGAAATGGCAGGCACATGCACAGCATAATACCCAAGAAAGGCACAAGTTAAGAATGTAACCCCCTGTGCTCTGTGATGTGCGACCAAAAGCAAACTTTGTTGTTCTCCCCAATCTTTAAGTTCTAGTCTGGGACCTGGAGCGGGAAAACTAAAAGGCATTTGGGTAGGATAAAGGCTGCAGTCTTACGTCCATGTCTTACCAGTTAGCCAGAACCTATTCGTTTCAGCTATCCACAGGCTGTTTTTTTTTTTTTTTTACATGTGAGCTTATACCAGAGGCCCTAGCTCTGCTGTGGGAGCCTGCTGCTTAATGAAAATGCAGACGGCTGATACAACGCTAAAAAGGGACAGGGGTGTGGAAATTTTTGAAAAAACTACTTGTCCAAGGGCTAAAGCGGGGGTCAAATCTACTTGTCCTTCATGACAATCTACTTGTCCCAATACAACAAAAAAAGTTTTAAAAGTTTAAAACTAGGGATGCACCAATACCAGTTTTTAGGTATCAAGTACCAATATTTTGCCTTAAGTACTCACCCGTTGGCATGGAGCAGGCTTCCCGGGCAATCAGGAAGCTAGGCAGCGGGTAATGAGATGCTACCCGGCTTCCTGACTGCCAGGGAAGCCGACTCCATGTTGTTTGGCCGGCTTGATTGTGAATGGCTGGGAGGCCTGCTCCATGCCAACGTAATGACCTGATTGGCCGGGAAGAAGGCTCGATGCTGATTGGCGGCCAATCGGCAAGGAGCTGGCTTCCCGGCCAATCACTTGACCACGCTGACCAATGAGTGCTTGCAATTTGCCAGTAAAATTCAAAATGCATAGGGCAGGAATGCGCTTGACAGTACGGGGTAAGGACTGTTTGCAGAAAGTTTATAGCTAGGGGGGTAGAAGAGATCGGGCCAGATTTGATCGGGTAATTCCATTTTCCCGTATTACCTGGGAAAGTGAACTTACCCTTTAATGCACATTGTGTGTGTGAGAGAGTTCTGCTGCCCAGGTACCACAATATGGCACACACTGAAATGGCAGCAGGACTCAACGCACACACACAATTTCCTATGCGTGTATTTATTTGTATGCAGATGGCAGGGGCAGCAGAGTTGGTTTTAATTATTTTTTTTTTTACTTTGTCACTTATTTTTTTTAATTTTTATATATGTTATTATATTTTACTTTTTCATAACTTTAAAAAAAATGTTTTTTCATTTTATTCCCATCACATGGTGTTAAAATCCTCTATGTGATAGTTTGGAGGTGACAGGTTCTCTTTATGGAACCTGCCCTCCAACACAGAACTGATGTTCTGTGCAGTTCCTGACAGCCGAGACAGGTGGCGCTGTGATCACAGCGCCACGGTCTCAGTGATAGCACAGAGCAGACGAAGAAAGGAAGTTCTTCGTCTGCTCTGCGGGCTCTATGGTGAGCTCCCGTGCCGTGGTGACAGGTCCACCAGAGGATCGGGGGACACCCGAAAACCGGGGGGGCCGCACAGGATCGCCGATTCTCGCTTCATACAAGTGATCTGATTAGATCACTTGTATGAAAACGAGCGGCGGCTTCCACTGTACATTCAGCTCTGCTTGTCCGGAGCAGGGCTGAATGTATTAAAAAACGACTTGCCCGGCGCCCGAAACTGCCTGTCCCGGGCGTCGGGCGATAGGAATTCCCCACCCCTGAGGGACCAGAGCTGCTTGCTTATTTGGGGATACCCGAATGTATGCGATAATGTGTTGGGGTTTTATTACTCACTGGAATCCTTATGAAGACGTACAACAAAACTTTGGTCCTAAAGTTTGCAAGAAAGAATTAAAATCTGACTTAAATTTTATACATCAAAAATGGGGGTCTTACTTTCTGGTTTAGGTCAGCTCTGTCCTTCTGTACCGTCTCATATAGGTTCACAGCAAACGTAACCATTGAAGTAGCTTCACTGTTGTAAGAGGCCTGCATGAGAATACAAATCATTTTTATTTACTAAAACATGTCATAGAACCTTCACAGACATATTGCGACACATTTTGGGGAGAAAACCCTTAACCTTGTACAAGAATATGAAAAGGAAGCAAGAAAATTGGCAGGCTATAGAAATCACCTGCGCTTTAACCTCAGATGCCAACAGGGGTTTGTACCTTGCAGCATACGTTTGGACTCCACAGTAAAGGGCCACAAAGCCTAGCTGATACTACATAAGGCCCAGAAACAATTGCTAAATGAACGTGTACGGCAGACCCATTTCAGAGTTGATGCCTTAAAACATACTATCAATCAACTAGAAGAGAGCCTGATTTTGCAGCTACCTGCTGATACTTGGAGGACAGTAAGATTTCACGGTACACACACAGCTAGCTCAGTACACTAAGGGCAAGGAGAGGCAACAGAAGAAGTTCTCCATTTTGTTATCCCGAACTGGAAACAGCTATACTAGGGAAGAACTAACTTGGAGACAGAAGGAGGAAACGGGGACATTGCAGAACTGGGTGCAGAACCTTTCAGACAGGTTTCTCACCCAGCCAGAGATGGATGTCCTTGCTAAAGGGTTGAATTTCACAATCACACCCAGAACCATCCCTGTAGTGGGTATTATCTCAGCCAATGAGGCCTCGATACACAGTAATAAAGTGCCACAGGGTGAGGCTGAGCAACTTCGCCTAAAAGTGTCTGCTGCCCTGGCCAGTGCCAAACCACCTCCGTGAAACCCAACTACAGAAGAATGGAGGGCGGATACATCCCTGAAGAAAGACAAGAGTATCACCATCCGGCCTGATGATAAAGGAAGATGTACAGTTGTACTTAATACATCTGACGAGAAGGTGACTGCACTTCTGAATGATAACACATATGAAGCCCTAAGAAGGGACCCAACCAGTGGCTACAAGAAGAAAGCTATAGATCTACTACAAAAGCTGGAAAAGGACAAAGCCATTGATCGGGCTATGCATCATCGACTCTACCCTGGTGAAGCCCCTCCGTGTATATATGAACTTAAGATACATAGGGATGGGACCCCTCTAAGGCCAATTGTCAGCAGCATAAACTCCATGACTTATAACGTGGCAAAATACTTAGCCAGAGTCCTTGCCCCCTTGGTTGGAAATACACAACACCACATACAGAACTCTCAGGATTTCACAAACAAAATCAAGAACTTAATATTGGGCACAGAAGAAACAATGGTATCCTATGATGTCACATCACTTTTCACCTGTATACCCAACACAGAGGCAATTGGAACAGTGAGAAAACAGTTGCTACTAGACAAAACCCTATGCAGCAGAACAGAACTTAACCCAGATCAAGTGTGTGCCTTATTGGACCTTTCCCTGAGTACCACCTATTTCAAGTACAAGTTCTACAGGCAGAAACATAGCTGTGCCACGGGATCGTCAGTTTCACCTATTGTGGCGAACCTGTACATGGAGGAAGTAGAAAGCAAGGCCCAGACCACCTTCAAGAGAATTACACCCAGTCATTGGTTCAGATATGTGAATGACACTTGGGTTAAGATTCACAAACAAGAGTTACAGGTTTTCACTGGATCAAAACATCAAGTTTACGCAGGAAGATATGCAAAACAACAAACTGGCTTTTTTGGATTGTTTAGTAACAGTAGAAGAGGGAAGGAGGCTGGAAATAGAGGTCTACCGAAAAACCAACACACACGGACCAGTACCTGCTATTTGATTCCCACCACTCTTTAGACCACAAACTGGGAGTCAATCAGGACTCTACACCACCGGGCTAAGAAAATTCCCAGCAGCACAGATGCCAAGACGAAGGAATTCAAACAGCTCAGGGGGGCCCTTAAAAAGTGCGGGTATCCAGACTGGGCTTTTGTCAAAACAGAAAGAAGAGGAAAGAATGTCAAAAGGTACCAATGCGGGTCAAAAGCATGACAAACGGAAGAATTTGGTCATTCCATATGTAGCTGGGGTGCCCGAGAAACTCAGAAGGGTTTTTAAAATACATGCATCGTAGCCAGGGAGGAGGACTGGTTTAAAAAAAAAGGTGTGAAGGAGGCCATTTATGTAAAAATGGAGAAGCCAAGCTTGAATAGAGGTGG